ACAAGCCAACCATTTTTGCCCGCATCTAAGCCCACCCATGTTTGGGAAGGGAACAGGCCGTGCCTGAGGGAGCTGGGGTACACCCCTCCCACAGCATGGCCAATGGTAGGCTTCCTTGTTTGAGGAGTCCGTCGCCTTCATGGACGCCCTCAAGTCCCACCGGTTCGCCTTTCTCTACGAGAACGTGGAGATGGGCGCGGAGGCAGCCAAGGTCTCATCGGACGCCCTAGGCGTGCAGCCGGTGTTCGTCTGCCCATCTGACTTCGGCTGGGTCTCTCGCCCACGCCTGTGGTGGCTCAGCGTCGACTGGACACGACTGGCATCGGACCCGACGGATGGCTCGCCCCTGGAGTGGGCGAAGAAGGGTCGGTGGGACCGGCTTCGGCTCGCCGCGGCCCGCTCCTCTGCTGATTCCTTCGACCTCGGCGGCTTGGAGTTCCACTCGTCGGTGGCCCAGGGAGAAAGCTCATGCCGTGCGCCACGATGCCGGCGCCTACGGACGATTGGCTGGCCGGCACTGGAGCCGGCTTTGGAGGCTGTCCTCGAGTTTCGTCGGGAGTGGCGCCACGACCTTGAGCGGATTCGGCGGACGTCCTTCAAAAGCTCCAGGACATGGTCGAGGACGTCTGGGAGGACACGGCCGCCTGGTTGGCATCCTTGCCCGCCCACGTGCGGGCCACCTACGTGACCACGGATAGGCCTCGCCCCTTCCAGGTCTGGTGTTCGACCGGTTGCTCCGGGGCATGGGCTACCCCGCGGCTGATGACCTGCAGAAGGATGTGAACGTCGGCTTCGACATGTTGGGGCAGGTCCGCTCGGCTCCAGGCTGGCGGCGCCGGTCTGATGAGCGCTACGCTCGCGCGGAGGGGCTTGACAGGCTTCGGCGGGAAAACCCGCTTTACGTCGCTAGGAAGGCGGCCAGGCCGCGGGACCACAAGCACACCCAGGCGCTCCTCGACGAGCTGGTGGCCGAGACTCGCCTGGGCAGGGTCACGGGCCCGTGTGCGGCCCCCGACCACTGGTCGGTGTCCACAGCCGCCCTTCCTTCGCTGTCGGGCATGGGGGTCCTACGTCAGCCACCGTCTGGCGATTGCTTCGCGGTCCTCTCCTTCGCCATCTGGCGCCGCTCCGGCCACAACGCCACCATGGCGGCGTCCGACGTCCCCACCCACCACTTCCTGGGGAACATCGTCGACCTCGGCCAAGGGGTGGGATCCCGTGGTGTTCGGCCACGACCTCCAGAACGCCTACCGCCAGTGGGCGGTTCGACACCCCGGGCATTGTGGCACCTTTCTCCCTTCGGCATCGGGCGTGACGCTCTGGTTCCACTTCGCCATGTGCTTCGGCGCCGGCGAGTGTCTGGAACTTCAACCGCGCCGCGGACGCAGATGCACCTGCGCTCCCTCCTCCTGGTGCTGCTGGGCCACTTCGTCGACGACTTCAATGGCGTGGACGAGGGGGACCTTGCCGACTCAGCCCACCACGCCGTCGCCGACCAATGGCGTTCCTCGTCCAGCGGCTCGGGCCGTGGGGGGGGCGATAGGTCCCATCCCCGCCAAATCCAGAACTGGGACAACCATGTGATAGTGCCCCGGCGCGGCGCGGGAGCCTGGAGGCCACGCCCCAGTGCCAGCCGTTCCCTACCGTGCGGTGGCGCGTCTTGGCGTCGGCCTTGACGGTGTACCCGGCGGGTACATGGTGAAGCTGCTCCTTCACCTCGGGCGGCGGGATGTGGAGAACGGTTTGGGAAGCATGGCCTCTACGGCGTAGTGCCACGGGGCGAACTGTCGACCGCCCTCCAGCCAACGGGCGTCTGCATCGCGTGGGGTCCGCCCTCTGGTCGATCGGGGCTTGGGAGGTGGAAGGAATCAGCAGAGGAGCGGGCCGCGGCGAGCCGAAGGCGGTCCCACCAACCCTTCTTCGCCCACTCCAGGGGCGAGCCATCCGTCGGGTCCGAAGTGAGCCACCACAGGCGTGGGCGAGAGACCCAGCCGAAGTCGGATGGGCAGACGAAAACCGGCTGCACGCCTAGGGCGTCCGACGAGACCTTGGCTGCCTCCGCGCCCATCTCGACGTTCTCGTAGAGAAAGGCGAACCGGTGAGACTTGAGGGCGGCGCGAAGCTCGTCCACGAAGGCGACGGACTCCTCAAACAAGCGCCCCCGGTCTCCCTGGTGCCCCGCCTCTTGGGCGATGCGGGAGAAGTCCTGGCACGGCGGGGCCGTTGGGGTCGGAGTCGAGCACCAGGTCGGCGACGTGCGAGTCGCGGGTAAAGTCCCTGCAGTGTTCCACCCATGGCATGGCCTTCTGCACGAGGGCCTTGCAGGCCCTGTCGACCTCCCAGGAGACCGCCAGGCAGGGTCGCCCGAAGTCACGGTCGACAATGTACGGGACAGCCCCCACACCGTCGAAGACCGAGAGGAGAATGATGTCCCGCCCGCGAGGGCGGTTCGTCTTCAGTCGCGGCAGTTTGGCCGGAGGCGTGTCGGGTTCCGAAGCCGCCGCGTCGGCCACGGCCCCGTGCTGTCCCTAGCGCCACTGCCATTGGCCCTGGCGCTTGCCGCCCGTTTCCCGACCCAGACGACCAGTCTTGGGCGGACTCAGTGCCCGACCACCACGCGCCGGCGCCATCCCAGGAGGTGTCGGCGCCCTTGGTCTGGCCGCCGCCCTTCCTGCCCTTCCCCTCCCCCTTCCGGCCCTTCTTGCCGCCCTTGAACTTCTTGGGCGGGGGAGGGGGGGGAGGGCCGGCCACGGCCGTGTCGAGCTCGCGGCGGGTTGGCGGCTGTGGCTTGGCCTTGCCTTTGGGCTCCGCCCATGGGGGGCGGCGTCGCCATCGCCTCGAGGAAGGCGGAGACGTCGGACATAATACGCGAGGTGACCTCCTTGAAGGTCCGACGCTGGCGCATTTCCATGGCGAGCGTTGTGGCCGTCGAGGTCCAATAGTGAACGAGGGCCTCGATGTTCACCGCCCTGGCGCGGGCCTTCTTGTCCCACCAGGAAATGTAGGCGTCGACGTCCGCCTCCTCGCCGAGGCCTGTCAGAATCCAGGCGAGGCGGACCGCTTCAAGCCCGTCGATAAAGGCCATCACGCCGCGGGGCTCCCAGGCCTTCTTTTCTTCGGCCGCCACGACGGCCCCCCCGACGATGTGGAGAGCTCCGCCCGAGGACTCGCGGCCCCCGGCGGCGAGTTTGTTCAGCTCGTCTGCCGAAGTCCGCGTCCTGGCGGCCAAGATCTCCCCTAGCATGAGCGGGGTGTAGGCTTTCGACACCGTGTGCTCATGGTAGATGCGAGCAAGCACCGCGTCGGTGCCCGCCAGGCGACGGGTCGGAAACTGGCGCGGCTTGCCGTCGAGGAGCTTGGCGTTGTAGGCCTGCACCAAGGGGCCCCAAGCGTCGAAGGACTTGGGCGGCGGTCCCGCCGGCGACGAAGGGAGGTTGAGCATCGCCGGCGCGGGTCCCGTGGCCGCTGCCGCCGCCGGGGCGGCTGCGGGGCAAAGCGCCGCTGTCCGAGCGAGCGGCAGACCAGGCGTCCCACTGCGACCGAGCCTCCAGGTACATGTGGAGGAGGACCGCCTTGATGGACGGCTGGTCGCCCGCGGCGACCTTGAACTCTGTGTTGGAGGCTGCGTCGCCATGAGCGGGTCGATGACGGTGGCGTGGAACCGTGTCTGGTTGGGCTCCACCAGCGCCAGCGTGGCTGTGCGGGCGAGCCCCCTCGCCCGGAGGTAGCGCACCACCGCGTCGCCCGCCCCCGCCTCGGCGGCGAGAGTGTCGAAGTCGACCAGGGCCTGTGCTGCGTGGGCGGCCGCCATGAAGAGGCGTGGCGAGGCGCAAGGGGATAGAGCTCGAGCCGGGGTTGGGGAGCTAGGGAAAGCAGTGCGCCCGGCAGACCCAACTCAGAGCAAGCCGGGCCGAAACTTTTCATACGCCCGGCGAATCCAACTCCCCGGGCCGGCGGGTTGCGACGACCGCCCGCCAGGCGGGCGAGCCTACTCCAACTCAGGGGCGAGGAGGGCGGCTCCACCGGCGTGTCGTCGAGGAGGTTGATCTCCGGCGGGACGGGCGCCGCCTTTGCGCCACCACCGATGGCCGGCGCCACGTCCACCAGCGGCTGGGCACGCGCCTGGCGCAACGCCCCATCCAAGCGAAGAAGGCTCCCCGCAACGCCCCATCCAAGCGAAGAAGGCTCCCCGGCGACAAGGCGCGGATGGCAGCGGCCAAGGCCGCCTGGGGGGTGTCGCCCACAAAGGACGAAAAGGCCACCTCACCATCGGTCTGGGCCGCGACGTCGATCATGTCGAAGGCGGGCAGTAGGACGTTGTGCTCCGTCTGCACCCCGACATCGGCGACGTCCACCACCATTGGGGGCGCGCCCACCAAAGGCGCCCCGGCGGAATCGGCGAGGAGCTCCTCTTCGTCCTCGCTGGAGGAGGGCACGCCCATGACCGGCGGCGCAATATCCTCCTCACCTGTCGTCGGCTCGACCAAGGCCGGCTCGCCCGAGGTGGGCGGCGCGGCGAAATCCCCATCCAAGGCACCACCAGGCGAGTGTGATGCCGTAGCCGAAGGCTCGCCCAACACAGGCGGCCCGGCGCTGCTCCCAACGCCCGCGGCGGGCGCAGCCACCACGGAAGATGCCAAAGGCGCCGGCGACGAAGTAGGGCTGACGAGGTCCAGCCCAGCCATCGCCGCATAGTCGGCGAAGGCGGCGTCAACCACGGCGCCCGGCGCAGAAGGACGAGAAGCCATGTCTCGAAGAGTGGCGAAGGGAGCAAGGGGGAAATCGAAAAGCGGTCGAGCCGGCGATAGCTGCGCCGGTCGCCCGCTAGAGCTTGTAATGTACCTACGCACATGCGTGTGCTACACGACAATGCTGTCAACACGATCGTCGGCATGGCGACGTTCTGAAATTCTTGGCTGTCAGTGTAGCAGCTCGACAAATAAAAGCCGACAAGAACAACAACAACGGGATGCGTAAGAAACAATCGAAATGTAGGTCTGCAGCGGCACCAGAGGTGGGGTCTGTGGCATTTCCTGTCCCCTGCATCGAAAGCCACAGCAAGCACGGCAGGTTGTGCGGGATTTAGTGTGGACGGTTTGGGCTCATGGTGGGCGTCAGCTGAAGCCAAGATCGTAAAATTAACCGATTGAGCGCACTAGCCGAAACCTCAACACGTCTTTTCTCCACGCCTCCAAAGCCGCTCCATTTCTGGGGCCGCCAACTGTGGCTCTAATGTGAGGACCTGCGGCTTCGTAGGGTCAGAAGTTCAAGCTGTCCAGGGCTGTGGGTTCAGGCTTCAGGATCCTGTGTTAGGAGCTTTGGATTCTGTTCGAAGCTTTGGGCTCGGGGCAGGACAGCGTCAGCATGTCTGGCCGTTGCACGCGGAGCTTCGGATGCATGTTTGAATCCGACAGGGATTTGGACTCTGTAACGTCTCTGCGTGGAGAGCTGTCATGCCACAGCAAAGGCAGCTCCTGACTCCGTATGACGTAATGATACGCTCGGGATCCAGCCACTCGGTCGAACTCTGTGCGGTTGATGCGGTCGCCTTGGCTTTGGGACGCTGATGTCAAGGATGGGAAAGGAAATGAGGAGAAGCAACGAGAGAAGAGAGAGAGAGAGAGAGAGAGAAACAAAGAGACACACTGGCCGCAGATTCATTATCGATGGATGCTTTTGTATGTGTGTGTGTGTGTGCGTAAGCGAACTTGGCAAGAAGAGCAAGTAAGGAACCGGCGGCCGGCTAGTGGGAGGAAGTGGGACAACATGGCTGGCTCAAGCCTGGGGGCGCCAGAGGCATTGAGAGTCTCTCGGCAGAGGTGTGAGCCAGGGCCGTTCGGCAGCAGAATTCCTCAGCATCCCGCCAGCTGCAGACCTGCGCAGCCTGCATTTGACGACGCTGGTCCACCTGCGTTAAAACTTCCTTTCTTCTCTCCCCGCGCTCTGACAGGAGTAACAGTCTCGCCTGCGGTAGTTGTCTTGGGGGCGCACGCCTCGGAGAACATAAATCACATAGCATATCTATCACATGATTTGCCGACTGTGCTCCATTTATGCGACCAGTTCCACGTCGAAAGAAAGACATCGTGCTACGAAAGCAAATCCTTTTTCGGAGAAAGTCGTTTCAAAAGGCGGCGCAGTTTATGCCAGCTCGGGCCAGCTGCATCTGCTGCGCATCTCCTGCACCAAGCCAATCCAAACCACGGCTGGTTGCCCTAAAAAAAGCACAGAGTTGATCCTCAGGTGGTGCAGTGAGCTCACCGTCCCACCTGTGCATGGGTCGACAAGAAGGAGCAAACGTGGACTAGACTCGACAGCACTCCTTCTCTTAAACGTGCCTGGGAGTGCGCACCCAGGCTCTCATGGGTGCCGGGCCGAGCATGTCGCATTCGACCAGCCGCAAATCGCTGGGGGAATACCAGGCATCGCACACTGTCGGGTGCCTCAAGGTGAATACTCATGAAGGCAGGCCCGTGCGACACAAGAGGACACGAGTCAGGCTTTGCTGAATGCGCTGACCTCATCCACCGAGTGTGAGCGCGAATCTGGTGTCGCCTTCCTGTGAAGATTTGGATGCTGATTGCAGATAGTCCTGGGCAAAGAGCGGTGATTCAGGGCATGGTGACCATGGAGGCGCCTGTTTCCTCTGAGGGTTCAGAAAGTGCATGGCCAGCCAAGAAGCCACCAAAGGCAGGATGACGCAGATGCGCGATTGACCGCAGCCTGGATTCTGCTGGTAGGCCGGCATCCTCGGTCAGTGTCCTGGGAGGATGATTACCTAAGTACCTCCTTGCCTTTCCAAAAAGTCTCGGCCAATCTTTCCGTCAAGAGGATGGCAGTCCTGGAAGCCTTTAGCCATCCTCGGACGGTGACATCCGCGTCGATCACGTGTTCTGGCTTGGGGTCCAACCCATGGCAAAGGACAATATACTCTCCTGAGACACTTGCAGCCAGAGCAAAAGCAGGGCAAACACAGCACGAGATGACGGAAAGCGCCAAGTGACGATCGATGCGATTGACAGCCTTCTGAAATTGCCTTTGCAGGTCGATAGCTGGACGGTCTGGTGCAGTTATGCTCGAGATGCCTTCGGCCAAGGTGCAACCAAAGCAGGCCTTGGAAAGTAGTGGCTGCCAGGACTAGGCCGGAACTGGCGACATCCAAGCGATGGATGAAGCCAAACCCATAGCTTGCACAGTGTAACAATGGGCAGTCCTCTCGGATGCAACAGTCTTTTCCAGTGCTTGAAAGCAACACACAGCGAGCATGTTCAACATGTAAAGCTTGCCGCATCCTCCCGTCGCCGGATTGCTTGCAGGTGCCAGGAGAGACAGTGAGCTTCCGTCTGGTCCGCCGTTGTGTCCACCTCCCATCCCGGAGGCTTCAGTGCGACCAGCATTCCCGGGCCGTCGATGATGACTCGAGGCTTGGTGATGCAGTCGAAGGTCAACCCCGGAGACTGCGGTGTCAATCCTATCAGGATGTCGACTCCAGTGTCCAAGACCCCAGCCAGTAGGCGGACAGCTTGCACAACGCCGCGTTCGAGCTCACAATCCAACTCTTTCAGGAAGCTCAATGCCCACGTCAACGCCAGCAGGGAAAATGCCAGTGTCCTGGCCTCTGAAACGCGGCTGACAGTCGACGCACGTCGTGCTACAGCTCCGGCCTTGTTGGCAACAGCAGCTACTAAATGACTGTCTCATGTTGAGCTAGCGGCTTGCAAGGTTAGCCTGCTGCCTGGAAACTGCACTTCGAATGCCTGCCAGAAGGGGCCGTGTGCGGCTTGAGCTGCTTAGTACGGCCGCTGCCCAGGCGAGGTTGGCCAAGCCCTGAGCATCGAATGACTCAAGGTTGATGTTGGCCGCGGAAAACGCGATATCGTAGAAACGGCTGTGGGCATCTGTGCTGGGTGCATGATTCGGACGGAGCTCCTCAAAGACAGGAGCAGCAGGAGTCAATCGGAAGGGTCTTGCAGGAATGTTCTCTATTCTCCCATATGTGTCCTGTAGATCCGATCTTGAAACAGGTCTGGATGAACATCGGCTCAGTGCGGCGGAGCACGCATCCCCAAGGCTGCGCGTCTGCGACCCCGGAGGGCCGCTGGACATGTGCCATGGCCGAAACTGCCGAACCGGAAAGTACGATCGGTTTTGGGGAGTCTTTCAAGTCGTAGTCTGCACAAAGAATCCTTCAAATCCACTGGTCTCACTTTGCATCGTTTCGCTGATCCGCATGTCGCATGACGAAGCTCTAAGCGCAGGTCCTACGACCTTGAGTAGGACCATCATGTGCCTGCCACGCTGGTCGATCACTGTCTATGCTGAGCTGCTCACGCCAGTGAGCCCGGGTTGACGGAGAAGACCTGGGTAGCGGAAGACATGGCAGTTCAGGAGTAGAAATGTTGGGAGGCCATTTGCGCTTGCGACAGGCTGCCTGGGCAAATGTATTCACGTCGACGCGGCCAGAGTTCCTCGAGACCTACCACTTGTCCCAGGATTTTCAAGGGATTTCCTGTGCTGCCGGGGCCGAACCTCGGCAAATATCAAATCGCTTTCCCGCTGGCTGACCTTGCATTCTCACTCCATGATGCGTGGGCTGACACGGTGGTGTAGATCATCTACAACGATCTGTTTCAAGTTTCTCATCTGCACACATGTCCAATTCCATAAGAGTCTGGCGCGTAGGCCACACCAAGTCCGAAAAGAACGAGTGTTGCTTCTAGGCCATGGCAGGGCAGCGCAGGGCAGGGCAAGGCAGGGCAGGACAGGGTGCAGGGCAGGGCAGGGCAGGGCAGGGGCAGGGGCAGGGGCAGGGGCAGGGCATATCCGTTGTGCTTTGCTGAAGCGGCCTCCCAAATTTCAGCAACACTACTGGAGTAACACAGAACTTCGCCACACATCTTTCGCGGGGCAGCACAGCAAAGGAATCGCACGAGTCGAACTTGCTGCAGTTCTTAACAAGTTCAATCTTTGGAGTGGCCAAATCAATACTTGCGCACACGATATCTCGCATCACAAGAAAGAGTTGGAAAGCCAGGTCTAGGACCCGAGAGTCGCAAGACACCAGAAATCTGTAGAACTCGGTCTGGTCGAGGAATCCGTTGCCTGAGTACTTCAGCAGATCGGCATTTGGTAGTCGCAGCAGAAACCCTGCATGCAAGTTGCGATTTGTGTCGAAGATGACGAATGCCTCTTGCACGCTGCAGCCTGCAAAAGTCTGCAGATCATGTCATGTTGAGCACCTACCAGATTACCAGATCCTCGCTCGCCCTCAATGAGTGTTTGTACTCCGTGCGTTCGCCAATGGACACGCAGAGGAACCGGACCAAACCAGGCCTCTCGACTGTAACGAGGTGGCAGACTGTGCTATTCGCGATCGAACGGCCTGGCTTCAGCTCTCGCTCCGTTGTTTTGGGCTTCCCGGAGGCAGGAATGTCATCATGTGCATGCTGGGACATGCTTTCGACAACTGGGAGTTTTGGGAGAAACCCATCTGCGTTGCGCAAGTTTTCCTTATTCTTTTTCTGATTTGGGCTGGGTACATCAGGATCACTCAAGTGACGTCCCGAGATGGTTTGGTGACAGGCTTGGTCTCTTGCATGCGGAAGCTCTTCCGGCGGAACTGCATCGGCATGTTGGACGGCACTCTTGCAACAAGCGTCTGTCGAGATGTTCATTTTTGCGAGCCTCATCGACGTTGATCTGCTCCGTGCCCGTCAAGAATCCCATGCAACGTTTAAAACCTGCGAGTCTTCGATCGGGTATTGAATTTTAGATCGATGCCAGCTTCACTTGACCCAATCGTGCCCAAGTGTGCCTTCCAAGTCCACCATGCCACAGCCGCGGGGGTCGAAATGACGAAACAGGGCGTCTAACCTCGCAAGTGCAGACGTGCAGCAGAAGCAAAAGTTCCGCCAAGTGGAGGCAAAGAGCTGTTGTCCAGTGAGCTGAGGGTCGTAGGCGTAAGCCATCAGGCTGACTTCGTCATGCCTCCAAAACGGACCCTCAGGGTTAAAGTCTGTAAAAAAAGCCATGGACAGCGACAGCAGGTGCCTGAGGTAGCCGTTTCCTGCGACGTCCAGCTTCTGAAAAAGGTTGCCAGCATCAATGCCAGCCTGCCACAGCTTTGATTCGCCAAGGTTCTGCGGGCTCTGCAATGGCTGCAACTTGCCAGAGCACGCTTGTGTTTCCAAGGGATCGTGCTTTTCTTTTTCAGCTCGTCTCGTCGTTGCTGTCTGGTTCATGGACTGGCTGCAGCATCGAGGAGTCGGCTCCAGTTTCTGGACCTCCCCATGTGACCACTGTCCCATCTTTTTTCACAGCTGCAAAGGCACCGAAAGTTCCGCAAAGCTGTACGACCTGACCGGAGCTCCCTTGCTAGTTCCTAGATCATCTGATGCGGTCTATCACGCTTGGGGCTTAGGGCTTACAGTGCAGGCATACGCTCTGCGCAAGCTTTAGCAGTCCAAGGCACATCCCCCCGCAGTGCGGCAGCAACTCTGGAACAGTCTCCTCCGCAGTCTGGATCACCCCACGCCACTACGGAGCCATTCTCCTCTGCAATGCTTCGTGGTACAAGAGCCACGATTTACACTTGCAGACTCCACGTGCAAGGGGCCTTCACGGCAGCAAAGGCTCTGTAAGTGCCGCATATGTTAACCACGCCCTCCAGTCTAATATTTGCCCCAGCGCTCGCGTCGCCCCAGCACACGACCTTGTTAGGACTTGATTTTTGAGAACATGTCGCTCCAAACTGGAAGAACTTGGCCGAGCTGCCGATCCGTCGACTTTCAGCGCCGCAAAAGCGGCGCCGTTGCCGTAAACTTGCGCCACGTCCGAGCTCAGGTCATAGGACAGCCTCATTCGACTGAGCAGGTCTCTCGTGAGCTTCGGAAACCAATTTGGACGAAGGAGCTCGAAAGAGTTTCCACCCAAATCCTCATTGCCCCACGTCCTGAGCTTCAGTAGGGTTGCGAGGAAGCCCGGTGGAGCGGCAGTTTATCTTTGACACACACACACGCTCACACACAAAGCTTGGAGCCTGGCACAACCGAGCCATCTGCCTTCCTCGCAGCGAAGGCGCTGCTCGTGTGGCTCAGGTCCACGACACCATCCGAAAGCTGGTCCCACACTTCCAAGGAGTCGCCCCCACTTGCAGCATCGCCCCAAGTTACCACAGCCTCTTAAAAGAATCGATGACCTATGTGCATGCATCTCAGCATCTTAGCTTGTGCAGTCTTTTCGAACTTCTGCCACCAGGGAGCCCCACTCTGTGTTCTAGCTGCAAACGCTCCGCCTGTTGCGCAAATCTGCTGCACATCCTTGCAGAATTCATGGGTGGGCCGAAATGCTCTCGGGCTAGGCTTCGCTCAGTGCGGGTCCTGAAGCTGAGACGATACTTTCGAGAGGTCGCCTCCCCATCTTTCGTCTCCCCATGCCAGCACCTGCCAGCAACAGCCAGCAGCCGACCACCACGATGCAAACATGCACACGAGATACAAGTGAGGTAGTGCCGGCGAGACACAGATCCCTCTGCCGTAATTGCCTTGCACGCTGAGCAATGCACGAGCAGTGAACAAGTCACAGCCTGCTGCTAGCTGAGTCTCTGCACAAGCTTTGGCAGTGCCAGCCACGGAAACAACGTCTTTCAGACCGGCTCCGTCCTTGGGGAAATCACCCATCAGAACGAGACAGATGTCCAGGCTCTGAGACTGGCTCTGAGCTGCCAGGTTGCCATGCAAAGTGTCTCATCTCCCCACATGGAGACAGTTCCTGACGGTACGTACAGGCATGAGAGAACCAATGGTGAAGTCACAAGTGCAGGCATGGCTCCATCTGCCCTGATGCATGCGAAAAGTTTGTACAAACCTTGCTGGACATGAAGGTTACAGTCTCATCGGCTCAGGCACTTGGACCAAAACCATCCGGGTTTAGCTCGGCCGAGCATCCGAAGACACGCCTTGCGCCCATTCCTCACCACAGCTTGGTTGTTGTCAAGCCTTCTGAAAGTCTGTTCCATGTTGCTGAAAAGCTGCTCAACTTCTGGCTGCTTGTGCTTTGACCGCCACATGCTGGATCTCCCCAGGCAAGCACCTCAACATCATCCAAACTTATGTGACATGTAAGATGTCCGATGGTTGCGGCAACATCCACGCCACGCACTGAATCTGCATTGCTGTGCTCCCCTAGAGTGACAGCATAAGTATCTCATCCCTCCAACAGTTGCCGAAACCAGCACGGCACGAGCTCGGCGCGGCACGGAACCGTCTGCCATCCGCGCAGCAAATGCCGCGGCTGTGTGGCTTACCTGATGCCAAGTACGTCTGCCTTTGAGTGATCGCTTCAATCATTTGCACATGTTTGAAGCGATTCCTCATTAAGTTTTGGCCATGGCACCTCGACAACTCCTCTCAGCTGCTGCTTCACTTTCGAAGAATCCCCGCCACACTTTGGATCCCCCCAAGTGACAACAGATCCATCGACCTCGGGAAAAGAAGTTCTTCTGGCTCGGAGAGACGGTTCGGATGTCTAACTGTCGGAGTCTAACGATGATGGGAAACAGGATTGTTCCGTCTACTTCCTGGCCTTCGTGGCTGCAAAGGCACCACCGGTACCGGAGATTCTGGCCACTCCCACCAACAGCCCATCGTAACTGGCGTCGCTGCTGTCGAAAGCCTTGCAGACACTTTGAATTCGTGGCTGTCACGCAAAGCTCGTGACAGCAAGCATTTCAAACAGGTTCCTCCAAGGAGCATCGTCACCCAAGAAGAAGGTGCCACTCTCCCGGAAGTCTAGGAAGGCGCGGAAGGTCCCTGAGACGCACGAGATCATGTAGAGCTGATCCTGCGCGGTCGAGGAGTTTCCACCCCAGTCCGCATCACCCCAAGTGACAACGGATCCATCCTCAGAGTGGATCAGTTTTTGGAAGCTTGGGCAAACACAACCCGGTTGGTGGCGAATTTGCGCCTTTCACTTGGAACCTAACCAAATGACCAAGGATATGTTTGCAAGAAAGATCAAGAAGGCAAAGACATCTGCTGAAGTGCAGTCCGTCCAAGGTGCTGTTTTCGTCGCAGCAAAGGCACCATATGTGCTACATATGTGGAACACACGCTTGCGTATCCTGCAAATTGCAGAGCACATCACGCGACACCTTGCCCAGAGTGCACACGTGCATCTTGAGTGGCAGAATGAGCAGACAAGGCATCCCCACATCGACTCCTGCTGGCCACTGCTGAGGCATCGCCACCGCACGCCATGTCACCCCAAGCGATCACAGAGCCATCATTCCTCCTCAGACCCGAGACAGAGCCAAGGACTAAACAAATAGGGTCTAGAGTCTAGAAGCAGCAGAGTGCAGCAGAGCTGCAAAGCTGCGAATGCACCGTATGTGCTGCACACCTGCAATCATAAGGTGTGGAGCCAGTTCGATGTTACATCCATCTGACCCGACGAGGTGTCAACAAGCCACAAAGTTGGAGCCTGACTCACGCCCTTCAGCTCCTCCTCGACTTGCGACGTATCACCACCCCAGTCTGCATCTCCCCATGCCAACACGGTGCCATTCTGCTTCAAGGCGGCAAAGGCACTGTAGGTCCCACAGACTTGCCTTGCATCACTGCGGACACATGCTGCTGTTCTGCGTGGTTCGCTGTGCCCAAGCTGATGTGTCTGCATGCAGCCGGCATGCTGGACACTTCTAAGATCAGAATGAACTGGGAAAGTGTCGCCACCACAAGTTGCATCGCCTGTGACAGCCAAGGCATCTCCTAGTGAGAAGATACAAGCATGAGGAAACCTACTAGGCACATGCTGAGAGACGTCAGCTTGGAAGAAGCAGTGGCACAAAGTTTGTCGGCTGCGATGCCACCGGGGCACCCCATGCCACAACAGTGCCGTCTTCTTTGATCGCCGCAAAGGCCCCGAAGTTACTGCACACGTCACGCACTCCTTCAGAAGGATACCGTAGGCGACTTCAGAACCTTTTGAGGTGGCATCGACTAACACGACGCATGCCAAAATGGATCCTTGGCGGAGTTTGCTGGAGCTGTCCAGTTGCCTGCCACCTGAGTCCTCGCTTCCCCAACTCACAACGGCCCCGTCGCTTGTCACCTCAGGGACATTTCAAACGGAATCTGCTCTTGGCGAGGTTGACCATATGCAGTTTGAAGCCGAACATACGAATGCAACATTCCGTTTGTTGAATTCTGGCGTACAAACATGCAAGCGGCGATTGCTCAACTGTGCGATGAGGTGTCATCCGGTGGTTTTGAAGCCCTGCTGCAAAGGTGAGGCCGGGTCGCGGCAGCGAAGGCTCCATACGTCGCAACCTCTTCAGTCTTTCACTCATCTTCAGTCCCTTGCGCACAGATTCCTCTTCGTGATGGCTTTCGGTAGGGTCACATTCATATCATACCAATGCCAGTGAATGCTTGCGCAGTGCTCAAGGAACAAGCCCCTTCTCCGTGCCAGTCTACAAAATGCTGAGCCAGCAGCAAGCTGCTTCACACCCGAGCGCAGGTGTCCTTCGACCTGTCACAGGGTTGCAGGCCGAGATTTCAGCCAGCAGCCAAGGCTTGCCTCGCCGGGGTCACCGCCGGTAGAAGGGTCGCCCCAGGTCACCACTGATCCATCCGCCTTAAGTGCCTCGGAGATCTTGATTTGTAGGCAGGGCTCTCGTGGCATGCTACTCGTACTGTTGCAGGCAGACAATCATAATCCGGTATCTGCACCAGGCGGCGGCAAATGCGCTTCGAGTGGCACGCAGCCTGGGATGCACAAGCAGCTCTGGCTCAGCAAGTCTTACCGCATGCAAGGGACAACGTCCGCATGAAGTACCCACATTCTCTTGCCGTGACACTGGACCACTTCTCCCTTGATGAGCCCGGAGACCTCCGAGGACAGGCCGCCGAAATCTGGATGACCCCATGTCACCACAGATCCATCTTCCTGTTTTTGGGCGTGTGGGAACTGCGAGGGATCCTTCAAAACCGGCCCCCATTTGAATTTTGCAAAACGGAACCACCGCCTTGACTGCTGCGAATGCGCCATACGACGCGCAAATGTGGCGAACGCCTTTACGTAGTTGTGAGGCAACTGCCGAGGAATCGCCGCCAACGTCACCGTCTCCCCATGTCACGACTGAGCCTAACAGACAGTGCTAACGGTGTTTATAGGGGCTACCAGCAATGCTGTCGGTAGCTCGCAACCTGAGGCCAAAGCCGTTGGCCTTGCCGCCAGCACAACAGATGCAGCTAGATGGAAAAGCATGACGGCAAAAAAGATACAACTCTCCATGCACAAAGACCTCCTTTCCGTGAGATCGGATCCGAAGAAACTAAGTATTGGGGAGTCAAGAGCACCTGGCCTTTGTCGCTGCAAAGGCCCGCTTAGTCTCGGAGACTGGACCTTCTTGATCCTCGTCCTCGTTCTCAGCCGCCGAATCCACATCAAAAGCGCCATAAGTTCCAAACACCTCCATGCCATCAGGTTCAGCATCAAAAGGTGACGGCATCTTGCGCGATATCAAATCTATGAACAAGCCGGGGTCTGAACTAGCAAACCTGCCTGGACCGCACCTTTCACCAACTGCCGTTGAACTTTGGATGAGTCTCCTCCCCACTCCCGATCGCCCCAAGTGACCACAGATCCATCCACATCGGACCTGACCATCAGGGCCCAATTCTCCATCCAAAAGCAGGTCTGACTCAAAACAACAAGCAGCAAAGATCTTAAATGGGAGTATGACCCCACACATCACAGCGAACCCAACCATTGGGGAAGTTGAATTGAAACGGGTAAAGCATGACCGAAGCTTGTTCAGACCAAAATCCGGCATCTTATGATCTAGATGAGATAGTGTCGTAACGGCACCCATCAGCAGCCTAAGCTTGGGGTGTCGAGGTTTCGGCACAAACGGAAGAATTCGTGTGATGCTGATGGTTCCCAAAAGCAAAGAGCACGGCTAAAAGGATGGAATTACATGGGTGGCTCGCTACAGTTGCGTCCCTTTCTAGGTCACCAAAATAGTCTTAGTACGGACCCCAGAAAGGACCTTAATTTAGAGAACTACCTACATGGATGCTCGGCTCCACAAGTTGCTGCGGTCGAATCTACACATGTCTGACACGGAGACTTGTTTTTCGACATGCACAGGCATGGATAGGCACGCACCTGGTTGTGCAGATTTACTTGTTCGTGTGTCTCGTTTTGTTCCCTGGTCTTTGATGCGGATGATCCTGTGGCCGTCAGATGCAGGGAAATCTACGTGTACTTAACTTGTATAGATGCATGTGGACATAGGAGCACATGAAATGATGTGAAAGCAGGGTACACGAGAAGCTGTACGCATATGCATATCCACACGTATGCACGCAGGGCATGCGCATGCACGCATAAGCAACTGAACCACGCCAACTTACAGGTACACCCTTGTAGGAGTTCAGTGCATGTTCTCGCGCAAGTGGAACTGCGCATGTCAATGTCTCTGCTTGCGACTTGCGGGCTTGAGGGCCGCGAAGGCACGCTCCTGTCTCACAGTCTGAGCCCCACAGCTGCCGGTCCAGGCCACCTGAACGGTAGTACCTTCAGCAGGCTTTCTCCAGTTGCAACATGCGGATTCGACGGCTTCTTTGCCGAGCTGCTCAATGTAGCGTCAAGCATAGACAAGTGATGGTACGGCTTCCTTGGCTGAGGCCACAATTGCCACAAGACATTGACTTGCTTCAAGCTTGCTGACGAGGCTCACTTCGCGATGACAGTGGAAAAGTCGGCATGCACATCCTCTCAAAATCTGAGCACATATCTTGCCCTAATCATGACTGGTGCCACTGTGGCTGATTCCCTGATAAGATGCTCGCCAGGCTTGGCAGCGCCAACCGCGCGAAATAGAGACACGGCCTCATCGACCACAAGCATGTAAGGCTAAGGCTTTTGGCCGACGGGTTGAAGCCACTCTCGCGTCAGAACAAGTAGCTCGTTCATCTGCGTTGCTCTCTGCATGCCACAGAAAGCGGCAGAGTTCATCACCCGAACAATCCAGCAGGACGAACTCCATGGCTCTCGAGCAAAGGCGATCGTTTCATTATCAATCTGTCTTGCGCTATGGCACACTCACATATTCTGGAATTTTTGCCGAGCAAGTCGTGTATACTTCGCAGGTTAGCATTGCGTCGATCGGCTTCACTCTAAGCAGGACTCCTGCAACCTGCAAACAGTTTTCCGAGAAACTGCTCAGGAATCATGAGAAACCCTTTCTACTTCTTGCGAAGCCGGCGCTTTCTCTGCTCCACTCAGCATGGGAGGCATGTAATGGTCATACTGTACTCGTTGAAACCAATCAAAGCAACTGTGCGCGGTGCCTCCAGGATTGAAATCCGAATGCGATCCAAGACCACCTGCAGGGCGCCATCCAGCTGCGACAAAGACCTTCGGCGGGAACCGTCAGGGTGGTTGTTTGTGCATGGCTGGGGGTTTACACCATTGTTAGGCCAGCAGCCAAATCTGAAGCATCCAAAACGCTACGAAGGTACGAGCCTTGCCGTTTCCTGCGAAGCGGACGAGGCCCGGGGGTCGAAGCCCAACGCAGCGCAGAACTCGTGGAGCTCGACGTAGCCTGGCTTGAAGCTTGCCATTACTGACTTGCTGGTTCAGCTGGTAATTATTTTATGAACACGCCAACATTTACCAATAGAACACAATCTATCTATCTATCTATCTATCTGTCTGTCTGTCTGTCTGTCTGTCTGTCTGTCTGTCTGCGCCTGACCGATTCCGGCAAACAGTCTGGTAAAGGTCCCTGAGCTCGTCGGCGGTGAGCTCTGGCCTAAGCAATGTTGGCAAGCGCATGCCGCTGCTGAGGGCAGAAGTCTATCAAGATGCTGGCCAGAACGTCTGTGCCATGACGTTGAGATCATGCGCCGACAAGCGTCCACAACCTGCGCTGAATCCCAAGCTGAATACTGATGAGACGGTTCTGAACATTGAACTCTTCAAGTATTCGTTGCACGGCCCATCTTTTGAGACATCGCTCAGCTTTCCCTGCTTCTCTTTGACGCACGGACGTCCTCCAGCTTTACAGGCGCATCTGCAGATCCATTTTCGGAAATAAGGTCTTCGAAAGTCATGACTCATGACATTCAGTCCTCGGCGAGGTGCGTGCAGGTCAAGCCGAGTGCTGTGATGGCTCGTTGCTCTTCTTCGGATGCTTGCTTCAAAGCTTCCTGGAAAAGACTTCCAAATGCCCAATCAGCTGGAGCAGCTCTTGCCAACGAGAGTGAAAACAGTCGCCCCTGGCCCCAAACGCGACTATCCCGTAGGCATTGCCGCTCCGCGCCTCTTCTGCTCCTTCGGGCAGGCCCGTGAAACTCAGGCCGACGGCCTCAGGTCTACGGAGCCTACGGTGAACACCAAGGCATGCCATCCACAATTTCGACTAGCAACCTTGGAACACAGCTGTTGTCAACTGCAAGGCACCTCACAAAGCAGCTGCAGTCCCTCATTTTCGAAGGCATGTCGGGCGACACAGCGCTGCACCTGGGGTCGAGTTCTGAAAGCACCAAAGCATTTTCAAGAAGTGCATCTCTTCCTGAGGCTCGCTTCACCTTCTATGAGCGGTCCGTGCAAGGAAGTCTGTTTCAGCAGCAATTTTGACAGGATCTCCTGTCAACTGGCCAACGTCAGAAAAACGGGAGCCGAGAGCAGCACCAAGGATGTAAACGAGTAGTCTTCGGCAAGCAGGGGGTCCTCTCTGACGTCACGTGCAAATTTTCGATCGCTCTCCGAGGGTGCTCAAGGACAAAAGATGACACAAATACCTCCAAACGGATTCATCCCGAAATTTTGGAAACACGTCGAGGATCCGATCAAAGGACTTGAATGTTTACGAGGCTCACAAAGAAAGAGGCAGAGAGGAAGAGGCAGATGCATATAGCTGCATACAGATGAGGAGAGAAAGAGAGGCAGGGCCACCCCAGCACTCGCCTTGCGTAGTCAGTCATGTGACACAGCAAAGTCGAAACTCACACTCGAAGAGGCCCATCCTGAGTCATAGACTCGGAACCTCCAGTAGTAGTAGTAGTAGTAGTCGTCGTCGTATAGTACCCTGCCACACCCTGCCTGTGCATGCTCGCCTTCCAACTCCAGCTCGAAATCGTCTAAGTTCCGTGCAAGCTGGAGATGCTGCGCCTGCAACTCCGAACCGAATATCATTAGGGCCTGTAGGGCTTTAGGGCTTAAGTTTCCCGTGTATGTAATTGTTCGCGCTGATGCATGGGCCAGTATGAAACTGGTGAAATCAAGCCTTGAGGCAGCCTTTACATAATCTAACATGCCAGTGTCCTGTACATGGTACTGTCCCAAAGCCTAATTTCCTAAAGCCTCCCTCCATGCAAATGAAGCATATGTCCATCAACTCTGAGATATATATGTATATGTATATATATATATATAATTATATATATATATATTGATTGATCTCGCTGCATTTCTTCTCGACCGCAACAGGCTGTCACGTTTCTTGAGACGGACCCCTTCCATCTACGTGTGCCGGCACGGCAGACATCGGCGCATGGGTCTTGAAAGTGCGCCATTCGAAGTCCCAAATAACAACATGTCCGAGTCTTCCTAAGCCCCTTCTGATCTTCAGAAGATAGTTGTGACGGGGACTGGTTGCGGCCAGTTTCAAGCTGCGGGAGGAGGCCTCCAGCAGCATCTCCGCATAGCTTCGTGAGCCGCGAGCTGCTGGAGGGAATGGTGGGGCCTCCGTGTCCTGGCACCACGAGAACATGAAGAGCACGGAAATACATGAATTCTATCTTCCTCATGTATCTACCGTTTGAGTCGTGTCGGGTTCAGTGTAGCATCCTTGATGCTTCGCCTGAGGTGAGAAGCGGTTGTATGAAGGTTACCACTGGCGGTTGGGTGTGCGCTGCATACGGCTGGACATCCAAATGATAAAATTGACAATCTCAACATATTGGATATTAGGAAACCCAGAACTTAGCAATACACATTCGGGAACCCACAAAGATTACATAACTGAAGTTCTACAAATTGAACCAGGAGTCGTCATCTGACTCGTACGGGGTTTGGCTAACTTGCCTATCGGTTTCCGACTGCTACTGCTACTGTCACTTACCCCTCCCACCAGTACTACTACTACTACTACTACTACTACTCCTACTACTACTCCTACTACTACTCCTACTCCTACTTCTACGACGACTACTACTACGACGACGGCGACGACGAAGTACGACTAGCACAGCGACAACAGCAACTACTCCGTTTACAACCACTGAGCTTAACAGTGCTACTGGGTTTGGTCGCCTTCTTGTGCGCATGCTTTGTTCTGCTCGCTCTTAGCTTGAGAGATTTCTGCGAGAGTTGTGAACATTATTGAGAGCATACAGAGGTCATCCGGGCCACGATTGCTTTTGAGCTTGCTACCATTGACTTCTTGCGCAACTTTGCAATGACAAAATGCACAAGTCTTAGTAGCATGGCCAAGGCTATGAAAACAGCGAGCACGAATACCCATGTTATTGAGATTACTGGCATGACGAAGCATACTGGCACGGGTGTCATGATCTACATTAGTAGGAGTTGATGCTCTTGACCCTTACTAATGTCAGGACTGCTATTTATACGAGTAGCATTGCTAGCATTGCTGATTGTACTACTACTGCCAAAAGCCGGCACAAAGTGTTATGAACTCCATCCATCCATCCATCCATCCATCAATGCAAGCAGCCGAATATACGCACGTGCATGCATACATACATGCATGTCTATGGTTACGTACCTTTCTGTATACACTGTCTATACACACGGACATAGAACTGGGCATGGTGAAGGAACGAGAAAGTCGGTCTTGGGGTGCGACTCGTCTCTGATAGATAGACCTTTAGGGTTCGTCACCAGCCGCAACATCACACGACTCGTAAACCCACAAAGTGTGACCATTGGAACGACGACTAGCCCCTGCAGTTTTCAGCGCTGCAAGCTGGTGCCTCGCAAAGGTGCCAAAGAACCCGCGCAGCACCGCGGATGTCTGCGTTGCAGAAGACCTCCTCCCACCCGGTGGATGTGCAGCACAGACCTCATTTTGGACTGCTCCATCAGTTTTTCTGCAGAGCGAAGAGGAACCCTATTCTTGGTCCTTCTCCTTGTCACATCGAAGCCTGGTTTCATGAAGGGGCTAACTGAAGCCTTAATTGTGGATGCTGCTTGGCCGTGTTTCCGTGTCAGTCGCTTCTGAGTGTCGCAGAATGTTTCAGCGTACATGCTAAAAAACTGTGAAGCCACTGATGTGCCACGAAGGAGCACATGGCCATGTCAGCCACTGATGCGGCAAGACAGGCTCCGAAGCCTTGGCGACCAGAAGACCCCACGAACACATCAAAGAGACATGTCTCTTTTGCTAGTGTCTTCCGCAGACACAAAACATGATGGCCCAAAAGCCTCAAACACCTGCCAAACTGTGTATGGGTCAACAAGCGGCGCTGCGTGACCAGCTTGAAGGCTTCGAGCTTTAGGGGCGTCTGCGGAGGTGCGACCATCACAAGCCTTCAATCAGCATCCAAGTGGAGCGTATGCGGATTGTGCATCAGCAATGCCGAATTGGTAGAAGCAGGGATGCTTGCTCATCTAAATGCTTATCCTTCCCTTCCTGTACCCACACACAACTATACGAATGCGGCCCAAAGCTCATGGTGTTCGCGATCCTCATGGCATGTCATGCTGCACACAGAAATCAGCGCTATGCGTAGTACAAAAGATACTAGTTTCTAGTGCGAACGGCGATTCACACGCTGTGCCCCATGACAGACGAGGTATCCGCTGACAACCTCGCACATCCTCGAACAATAAACCTGTGCTGCTGAAGACTTCGTGCTGCCGTGCATCTGTTGTGGTGTGAGGGTCCTGTCTCTGTCCAGTCTGGGAAGGATATATCTTCGAAAGTTTTCGGGTCGAAGAAAGAAGTCGGTTCTCGGAGCGAAATGCAGAATAGATCGAAACCTTCCATGCAATGGCTCGGAAAAAATGTCCAGAATTCCATGGTTGCCCACACGTTCATCTGCTTGGAACAGTGCAAGGGTACGTAGAATAATGTCCACGCCACCGAATCGAAGAGCTTTCCTTGCCAGGGCTCGGCTCAAGATTCAGGAAGGTGAACCCAACGACTATAAAGAAATACACTCCCCCGCATAACCTTCCCGAGATGCTTGTTGTGCTGGCTGCTTGGCCTTTTGGTTGCTGGCAAGTAACTCTCCGAAGTAGCCGCGATGACCAGGAATCTCTAAATCGGTCGTCTGGTTCTGGTGGAGGACGGCAAAGTCATTCCACAAGTCCTCTGCTTGCAGCTGCATTGGAACTATCTCCCTCGAAGGTCTAGGACGAGTGCAAGGGCTAGCTGCAAAGTGCATCCCCGTGCCCCTTGGAAAGCTTTACTGCTACCAGTACGAGTACCTCTTTCGGTCCTCCTGCGGCTTTCCACACCACATTAAAACCTGCCTTCCGAGCCAGCGGATGTCTGGCAACTGGGTTGCCACCGCCGCCAACTCCTTGTCAAAGATTGAGACCCGCCAACAAGAAGCCAAGGTGTCTGCAAGTGGAGCATGAACATATCCAGTGCCCCCGCCTTTTTATTCAACTGCACATACTTGTCTCTCTACGTCTGGACGGATAGCTTTGCGTCTGGCGCTCTTGGCTTCAGAGCTCCAAATCGACAGCCGCTCCGTTGGGCTCAGCCATGAGCAGCCGGGTGTCTGAGAGGGGGGGCCCCTGATCCTTAAGAAAATTGCGAAACTGATCAGGATCATCATCGATGCCCCCGAAGGCCTTATCCAAAGCAGCCATGGGAGACTCCTCCTCCTGGATGGGTCCCTCCCCTGGCAGGCGCAAAACTCCTCGAAGCTTGGCCCCCTTTTGTGTCAGACCCGCTGCAACCCCGGCAGCTTCGGCCAAATTGGGGGTGATGAGAAAGTCTACCTGATAGGCTTCTTCCGGGATGTCGGGCTTGTTGGAGGACGCGCCCTTGCTGAGGAACTGCCCAAATGCCTCGTAGGCCACCGCAGCTCCCGTTTCTAAGTTCACGAAGATGAAACCCTGCTCCTGGCAAGAAGATCAAGCAGTTTCTGCCCGCGAGCTGACCTAGCTATCGTAGTACTATGGAAGCCAGTGCTACAGAGTCATCCTCTACGGCCGCAACCTCATACAGTAGAATTCAATAGAATACCTTGTCAAATAATGTGACCCAACATATTCTCAGCAAAACAGCTGTATTATGCCATTTATTAGATCATATCGCACATAGTATTTTAGTTCATGGCTTGTGTTTGGGACCCTCCTGCTTCTCCCAGGGGAAGCTGCCAGAGCCGGGGGCGGAAAGGACGCCGACGGCCGCAGCAGCCTTGTCCTTCTTCTGCAAGTAGCCTCGGTACTGCAACATTACTTGTTATATCGTATTTTTATGTCATGTTTTGTGTTATGTTATATGATATATGATATTCTGTTAGCTTGTACAACCTCGGGGTTGAAAAGCTCTGTTTCTCGTCAAAGCCAGTGCTGGAGAAGAAACTTTTGGAAAATCGGTGGTGGGCTTCCTTCCATGATGGGTTGACGTTGCCCAATTCAAGTTGCGAGTTGCTAGCTTCGGATTGAGCTTTTACGTGCTCCGACTGATTATAGCAGAGTCTATTATTGTACCGTATAGCATACTACAATATATTTTGTTGTATATAATAGTAGTCGGTTGTTCCACGGCCCTTTGAGCAAAGGATGAATGCAGACGAAGAAGCACTGTCCGCCAGGGCCATTCTGGAGAACCGCCAAGTTACGCACCATCATCTTAGCCAGTTCTTGTCCTGCCTTCTGTGATGTCACGAACTTCACTTTTGTAAGCTTCATCTTGTCGACTGTTGGTCGATGAAAGAACTCTGGTTCCTCTGACGAGAGGAAGACATAGTCAAACTCCTCGTGCACATTTTCCGGCTTCAAATCGGAGCCCTGCAAATTGGGATTGACTAGGATCCTGATTCCCCCCATCTCCAAAATGAAGCTCCCTCTGCCCGAGCCCACTGCCTGCACGCGCAGGATGTTCTTCATGCCTGCGAAGCCCTTGTCTTCAGCTGCCCGGCTCACTTGGCCAACCAATCTCCATGACTCTAAGGATCCAGGCCGTTTAAGCCCTAGCCTGGGCCTAGGGAGCTGAAAGCCCCGAGTTGGGCTTGGGACCCTGTCAGAAGATGGCACTTCCATGTGGCCAGGGCAAAATGCCGAGTTTGTCCAAAGGGCTGTGAGGGCAACCACGATGCAAACAGCCGAACATCGTCGACCTGTATGCGGAGCCATGGATGGCACAGGGACTGCGCAGCGAAAATCGTATAACCTCGGCATATCTGCAGCCCAACGGCTTGAGACAGAAGGTTCCAGAGTCATAAAAACGGAGTGGGGCTGCACACATCGACGAAGACGCTCAAAAGCGCTCCTGCCAGGAGCGACTGGAGACCCCGGGGGTCTCCGGAGTCAGCCCCTGCAGCGGCGAGGCACCCACCAGGCGCCGTGCAATGCTGTCGGACACCTGGCGATGGCCGTGATAGCCTGATTTTCGATATGCTTGTGCCAGGTGGGGGGTCCTCCAAGGTTCGCTTCGGAATCAAGCTCGAGTTAATTCGCGGCTGCATTCGTAGTTGGGGGTATGTTGGGGCTTGAGTGGAGGTACAGGCACAGCAGGTGGCCCGAGGGTGAAGATCTTGCTTGATCGTGCGTCCAACAGCCCACCAGCAAATTCCCCTTCACGAAAAGCATGCAGCGGTATCAGGTGGCGATCTATTTCTCAAACTTGCGGCACACTCCGGACTAAACTCTGCACCTGGCAAATAACATGGGTTAGGGAGCTTAATCCACGTCACCTCCAGATGCGGCAAGCAGAACTCGGGACCAAATTCCAAGCCGCGCCCGCTGCATGGCCCTGTCCCTGCCATAGCACTAAACAAATCTAAAATTCCTGAGGTCTCGGAATCCGAAGGCTCTGAATCCGGGCGAGAATCAGTCACAGCTTCACCTGCGGATCGACATTTGAAGTCTGTTGAAGCTGTGACCTGCGTGCAGTTCCAACTCAGCGGCTGCCTTGATTTGTGCCAGCTGGGACTTGTGCTTTTGTGCTTGAGCTACACACGCTCGACAGCCTGCAGTAATCAGCAATGCAGTGCCAGCTGCAAGCAGTTTTGAATCTGTCGTCTCCGCAGGCGGCTCGTCAGAGCTCGACTTTGCGAACCAGCCCCGCCTTTCGCAACCTTGGGAGATGAGAGATGCGCTCAGCTCATGATGTCAGGTAGGTGCAACTCATGCATTTCAGTACGTTCAAAGGCTCTGGGGTCGTGTCGGCTCCAGCAGGGAATACTCGACGAAAGCTGCAACAGACACGAAGAACACCACCTCAGCAAAATACTCACTGCTCCTGTAGCATAGTTCGCCATGCATAGCCGAGCTTAAAGGCTTCACACTTCAGCCTGCGAAGTGCGAGTGTAAATGCACCAGGCATGGCACGAGCTCGACAAGAAATCATGCGGTTGAGGTGGTGCCTTACGAAGCAGGACAAAATTGGCAGAGTCCCGTGGGCGACTCCCCTTGCAGCAAATTGCTGGCTGCTTTGCAGCCTAGACGACAAAATGCGACAAGGTTGTACCATCTGCATCTGGTCTACGGTCCGACAAGCGCAATTGAGCAATTCGCACGACTCTGTGGTTACTGGGGGCCATGCAAAGTGGGCGAAAGCATAGACTCCAATGAAGACTCTGAAGCTTCGTTTGGTGATGATGCCTCCGGTTTCGCGGACTTCTCATGCAAAAAGTCAAGGACATGCGGCTGCATGCCTGTGGCCGGTACCATCTGTCCTGGCAACAGCCACTGGCATGCGAACTGCCATGAACTGCGTGCAATTTGTCAGCACAAGCTGCAGGACCTGAAAACACAGCAATGCAGCCGCACAGCACCACGATAGCAGCAGGGGGCATGCGAGCCTGGCGGCATGCAGGGGTTTGTGGGATGGTTCTTTGCCGGTGCTTGGTGTCATGCCTTCAGGCTGGCCAAGAACCATCTTGCAAGCACCAATGGGCCGCCCTGCTCCTGAAAGCTCTGCGTGCTACATCGTTTTGTATGCCATGCATGCCACTCCAGCAAATGTCCTCTGAAGAGATTGGGAAAAGGCGGTGGGGTGCTCTTGGCGGCCTGACGAAACATGGGCTTCCTAAGTTCACGCGACGTCCACACAGAAAAACGAGAAGGAATTCCGCCTCTTGACAAAGTCGAGGCCTTGGAGCATGGCCTCGGTAGACTTAGCGAAGGCAAGCTGTGACTGTAGTGTCCCTGGCATTGCTCAGCGCAATCTTGCAAGTGGGCTACACCGGGCATCCAACCAAGTGAGCTGTCACGTTCCCACCAACTGTACCCAACTTGCGGGCAAACAAGACCTTGCACAAGCAAGCCAGCACCAGATGCCAACGGCAGGCGATGGGATTCTTATGTTTGTCCGAGGAGTGGAGGGGGGTTTTCTGAGAAGTTGACTCCCTGGTCTGCCAGCGACTGTAGCAGCGCATCTCGGTCTGCCGGCAACAGGCCTCCCCCAAGCAAGGGACTCTTTGCCTCGGCTGCAACACATGGGGACACGCTTTGTGTCTCACTTCTCTCGTCACTCCAGCGGCCAAGCCATTAAGCACAGATCATAGCCCATCACTGCCCGGGCTGCCGGACTCGCTTGAGGTCCGCCTGGTCTGCCGCAGCACCTTCTTTTCTCGCAGTCGTGACAATACGTACAACCCGCTGAGGATGTACTGCGCTTTGTGCCACCACCGGCTCTGAGCACCAGACAGCCCGGCCAAGGCGCGTACCTTCAACAAGAATGCAAAACGGGTAGTTCTTGGTAGGTGTCTATGCCTAGAAGATCCCTGAAGCAGGTGATGTTTCCCTGTTTCAATGCTGGGGCACAATATGCATTCGGCTCGTGCCCCGAGATCTCGTAAGCCGTCCTCGAACTCCTGAAGACCGTGTGTAGCCTTCTGGTAGAGTTCCAAGTCCGACCTGTGGGAGGCAGTCATGACTTCATCGTTATATCCTTTTTTATAATCATTGTTATTGCTACTGCTATTCTTGTTCTGATTAATGGTACTATGATTTTTGGCATCCTTACCGTTATTGTCATAGTTACTGTTATTACGATTACTATTACATCTTACCACTACTGTTATCATTTTCTATTACTATGATACTCCAAGTTCCAGGCAGCTCTATGGCCGTGTTCTCAGGAAGATGCTCCTTTTCGTGCACTTTGTCTTCTGTGCGCAAAGGAAGCCATGGCCCGAAGTCCTCCGCAAGTGCCAAGGTAAGCAAAGGCAGAACTTCATCGGAGCATAACCTGGGCTGGAGAAGGGTGCAGTCATGGAATGGAGCCTCTTCCAATAGCAGACCTTATTCCCCCGTGTCTTTTGCAGGTCTTGCTTTTTTTTACTCAATTTCAGCCTTGTGGCGGTTCGCCGAGGTATGAGGACTCGAAGATTGCGTCCGCGGCTGCTAATGCTCGAGTACTGGTGACCCGAAGAGCATGCCGTCTCGTCAGTGCCAGCCTGCAGTCTTTACCGTCAACTCTTGGACAAGAATGCCGACGAGCCCTGGCACATGGAAATGAGTTTGGGCCCTCGCCATTGATGGTGTTTCAGCAACAGAGACCTTTCACTTCTGAAGCAATCTGGCCCACAAGACAATGCGAACACTTAGCAGTTGGTCTAATGCAAAAGCTGCACGAGCCTGGCCCAGTGCGGCTCAATGCCTTATTTGACAAAGGAACTCGAACTCCTCCAGACTCTACCATACATGTCAAGAACATGGTCCCCCCCCCCCCCCCGGTGTGTGCCAGGGTCAGCGCATGCACCCTCGCTCTTCGTCTTTAAGTTTGCTTCCATGCTTGTGGACGCCCACCCATGGCTCGCATCGGTCTGGTTCGTGCCCGATGTGAGCGCATCCTCTCCCAAGGCCATGTAAATTCCGCAAACCTTTCCGCAAATAAAACCAACATCTGCTGCTTTCACGGTCTTCCCGGGGTTTCTGTGCTTCGTAGCCGGCTTCGCACCTATGTGGAAACACATCCGTGACCGTCACCTGCGAACCTCCATAGAGTTCAGGTCCCTCCCTTCCCCCCCAGTACTTTATGGCGAAGTACTGAAACTAACTCATCAGGTTGCCAGGTAAGCAGTCGCATCACTGGCAATGAACACATGATTACCAGTATAGGTAGTTTTGATCAACGCGCATTTCTTGCTATTGCGCACACACACGCCTATGCTGATCGAGCACATTGTGCGAATGTGGACAAGTCGCCACGACTCTCCAACAGCAAGCCAGTTTCCATTCTTTCTTAATACTTGTTACTGCGATCTCTGTGGATCTTGCCTTTTGAACATTCCAAGACCTCGGTTCTAAGGTCTAAGTGTTCCCCGCCGAGTGAAGGAACTGCACACGGCCTTGCCATCGAGATGCCATGTGCACAGCCGTGTGGCACCTCGAGGTCCCGCACTCCAGCCGGGCAAATGCGCGACCTCCGAAGCGCATTTGGACGATTCCAAGCAGGATGCGGCAGGGCCCAAACCACATACGGGAGGCAAAGACAAGCTTACAGCCGCACAGTCCTAGTCAGTCGCAAAAAGTGGCGGCAGGTGCAGAAAAGCCTAAGGCCTAAAGGGTTCGAGAGGCAAGAGAGAGAGAGAGAGAGAGAGAGAGAGAGAGGGAGAGGGAGAGAGAGAGAGAGAGAGAGAGAGAGAGCGAGCCAGCGAAGGAGGGAGAGGGGCAGCCCCTCTCCCTCTTCTGCGGACCACTGCGACTCTTCGCGTCTCTTGCTCAGACTCGAGCAGGGGTTCGTGGTCGCCATCGAGCAGCACACTCCTGAGTCATTCCTGTATCCGAAGTGTGTGCAAGCTGAAGACTGTGCTTTCGGGTAGAAAATCGAATGGTGGTCCCTTGTCTCTCCATTTGTAAGTGCCGGGCACAACGTGGCCTCTGTGATAACCCACATGGAAACTATACATTGCTGGGGACACTTCAACTTGTCAGTTGCAAAGGCACCATCTCAGCTAAGCTCAGCACGCAAAGGCCAGAGTGGTGTGGCCTGGAAAAAATACTTTTTCTAGTATCTCCACTGTCCATTGCCTGCGTGAGTCGCCGACAATTGAACGAGGCCTGGCCTCTGCCACAGAAATCCTCTTTCTGACGGAATGGCGGTTGGGAAGGTGCTCATCACCCGAGGTGCAGGCCCGTCATCGGCAGGCCGGCACTCTTTACGCCTCCTCGGCCTGTATTTTGTGGCAGAGCTTGCTCTCTGCACTGGCCTTCCTGCAGGTGCCCTCCAAACTCGAGGGCTTTGTCCTGTGGAATGCTGTACATCAAAAGCACACATCCAAATTTCCATCTACATTGAGATCGATTGCATCTGTGCACCTCTAGAGCAATACCAAAAAGGGAAGAGGCACAAGAAAAAGCGTGCCATGCAGCAGCCCATAGCCGTATATACAAGCTGTACATAGACCAGAACATGTGCCGCCCGAACTGACTTGCTGCCTCTAGTAGCCGCAAGTTTGCACAAAATTGGGCAGATCACGAAACAAGCGAAATAAAAGCAATGGCGAAGATTGCCTAGACAGTACATTGGTGAACGGCACAAAGCTGAAAGCTGTCAAAGCCCATGCATACCGCGTGCGCTGTGCTTTGATCTGGGGCTTAGGGCCATTGAAAACACTACTCCATCCTGACTTGGACAGAGCTGATAAGTGAAACGCACCGCTCCGTGAGACGGCGACAGATGGCCTTCCCTTTGAACGAGAGCAGCCAGCCGTCTTATGCCGTCTTGCGTAGAAGCGGTCCATTCGACATAATTCGCCAAGGCCGGAAAGCTACTCAGCCATCTCTAGAACTTTCTGTTGGTCCAACTGCCTTTCAAACGGCAATGCTTCTGAGCACCGCTTCGTAGCCGATGAGGAAGGCCTTGTAAATGAAATGCAATGCCGTGCTCAATCGGTTGGATTGCCGGTACTCGCATCTGATGACTGATGACGACAGCATGTTATGTTTGTGACTCTGCATAGCTGGGTCATGTCACGGAAGTGCTTGCTGGCTGCACCATAGCTCACTAAGCTTTGAGAACCTTTCGATCGTTTCTTTTGCACCGTGGCTTGTCTGCCGACGCGAAAGGCTGGGAGGCGATCCGTGAATTGTCTACGACTTTTCTGAGTCCCCTGCAGCTCCTTGCAATCCACTTGATGCCACTTTGGTCGGAAGGCCACGTCCGAACAGCCCTGCGAGGGCGCGAGCGAGGCTCGACACTACCCATGATGACAAGCTGCACCGGTGCACAACTCGTCATGCCTTCTCCGAAGCTGTATGCACAGAAACCATATAAATGCTTACCTGTGAAGCACACGTGCCAACACACTGTGATTGCTGGCGTTTCCCAGCCGGGCAACAAATCCCGAATCCCGTCATGAACTCGCATGTTGCAGGCCTCGTACTCCGTCTCGTTGCAGCAACTCCTTCACGGCGTCGTGGTAGGAAATGGAGCCTCCAGCAGTCTGTCGGATTACTTTCAAGACCTCGGGTCAGTGACGGACCAACCGAATCGACGCACGTGTGCCGTCTCAAACACGGCTGAAGTGACCATGCTACGCATGGGTGGACACAAGGATCCAAATCAAATCAAAGATGCTCGCAGAAAATTGCTGCAACAATCGCCAGCCACGTTCGATATGAAGCCAATGCTGGCACCCCTGCGATGGCCATCACTCAGCAACTTGACATTTGCGGTTGATCTCGAGCTAACCTTGCAGATAGTTCAGTATGAGCTGATTCGTCGAGCCAGTATTTGTTGTGCTTAGATCATGGATTCCACAGTTGATCTGCGATATGATAGGGGTGTAAAATATATAGAATGTAGTACGATATGATATATATATATATACACACAGACACACACACACACTCACACACACACAGAGACATATACATATATATATGGGCGGTCTTCAATAT